TGATTTGCACACTTTTGAAACTTGAGGAGAATATTTTTTGATAATATGAAGGTTCAAGTACCAACATGGACACTTTAAGAAGGGACTAGTATTCAAGATTGGATAAAAAATGACCAAAATCGTACAAATATTTGAAGTGGGGACAAAAATGCAAAAAATTGAGATTTACAAGGGTCACTGATAGCTATGTCAATGAGTCGAGCCGAAAAAAAAAATTCGGGCTCGGCTCGAGCTTTTTTGGGCCCGAATCGAGCCCAGCCCAGCCAAATAAAATGAGGCTCGATCCGAGCTTTAGCCCGGGCCGAGCCGGTTCGGATTTTTTTTTTTTTTTTGTGTAAAATCTACATTTTCTATTGAACGAATTTAAAATTTGTACAATTTTTGCGTGTTATAAATTAAATAAATTATAAAAGTTAAAGAAAGTGACATGAACAAATATATGTAATTGTAAAAACAAACAAATGAGGACCTTTTCATTCCTAAGATCAAGAAATTTCTTGGGCCCACAAACATAGGTACCTAAACCCATATATCTAATCAATCACAGAAAAGAAAGAAGTTCAAAAAGAAGCCACTCATAAAAGGCCATTTATTGCAAAACAGTGACTAAAAGAGAGAAAAATAAAACACTGGGGATTATTGCACAGTACCTCGTTCAAATTTCAATTACAGATGAAATCCTGCTAGATTCGTTACGGGTGCTTCCATCATAGGCAGGCAGCTTTAATTTAAATTAATTTTTTTTTTTTGATATCCAGGTATCCAACTTACACCAGACTATGTCTTGGACAATCAATCTCCGACTCCTCAATGATGGGCGGAGGTTAATCGCGGAATATGTCCAAATTGATCAGGATCCGTGCACCATTTATACTTCTGACCCCAAAGGAACCTTCCTCTATAGATATTACATCACCAATCTGTTTCACCCAAATTGAGTATTACAACACTAAACACTCAGCTACTCCATCCAGGAATCGAACTTCCCACCCTGAGGTTGCAAGCCCAGCAACGCCCATCCTTTGTCAACTCGGATGTGCCCCGGAGGGCAATTTAAATTAAATTAAAAAAAAAAAATTTTTTAATATGAGCTAGACACGGGCCGACCCTGGCTTGGTGCAATCGAGCCCGAGTCACACGGGCCAGCCCAGGCTCGGGCCGATGCCCCAAAATGGGGCTCGATGCTCGGTCCGAGCCTCGGCTTGGTGCAACCAAGCCCGAGCCAGTCCTGACTCGGGATTTTTTCGAGTCGCGCTCGAGCCGCCCGAGCTTTTTTTGCCACCCCTAATCATTGAGGGTCCAGAAAATTTGTTGTTTGTCGTGGTCAGACCCGGTTGAAAAAAAAGATCTTTTTTTTGTCGGTCGGCCACGGTTCGGTTCAAAAACGTTCTAGGCTTTTTTCTTTTTTTTTTTTTTCAAGGTTATTTGGGCCCTTTTTTATGGTATGAATTTCAAGGCGATCCAATTTATGTAGGGGATAATAATAATATAGGTAAAAATGAAAAGATAGAAGAGTGAAGAAAAAGAAAAAGTTAGGATTTCAGGAACTTAGTTTAAATGAGCGAATTCTTGGTGCAAGAACATCATCTTTTCCTTTAAACCTAGTGATGTACATCAAAATCCTTTTGTGCTCTTTCTTCCGCGATGATCTATGACTAAACCAATAGTTGGGACGAATTTAGATTTTAACTTTTAATTTCAATTCTCAATATTCTCATAGTTTTTCATTTTATGTATGTATTTTACTTCTTTTCTTAATTCTAACCACTATTTCATCGATTTGTGAATTTATAACAAATTGAGAGGTGAGTAATAAAGTTAGACCACAATGTAAAATTTGGCAATTAGATAAAAGATAGATATACTTTTATTATTGTTGTGATCTTTAATTAAATTCCTATGTGATTTAATACGTTTAATTGATACTTATTCGATTTCACTTAGAAAAATTGTGCGTTGATTTAACTAGGTTAGATCGAATTGGACTCAAGAGAGATAAACTGATTTAATTAGTGCTTTCGACGAAGTACAACTTTAGAAATTGATTTTGAGAGGCGATATAAATCCCTTGTTTGGAACCGATTAAAATTCAAATTTTAATCCAAGTCAAAGACAACAACCAATTTTAACAACATATTTCATGAATCACACATATTTTCAACCATACATTTGATCAATTTTTATCAAAATTTACTAAAAATTCTCATTCAGGGACTAAAGGTAATAATTATGTTGAAATTGTGAGTCACAATGTTTTGATCGTCATATTGGATAGTTTAATTAGGTTTAGCTAAAATTTAAAGAAATCATTTTCGTATAATTTTTTTTTTTCAATTTTAGTTAATATTAGTTTTAATCAAAACATTGTCATTAGTATTTAGTCCTTGTTTGGGGGAAAAAAATATTTTTGAATAGTAATATTATTTTATTGAAAAATGTGATTAAAATAAGAGAAAAAAATGTATTTTTAGATAATGGAACCCAAACAAGTTGTTACTTTGTTCAAATAAGAGCTAAGAATAATTAAGTTAATCTTTAAATAGATAGAGCTTGTCTGGTGGTGATTTTTTTGGAGAATTTTCATCAATTTTTCAATCGGTGGCTGGGTACTCAGCAGCCATTTTGGACCAACTGTGAGACATGTGGGGTCCAGCTGTTGACCTCAACGATCTAAAAATCACATAAATTTTGGCCAAAATCTTCTCCAGACATGCTCATAGTTTTGGTGAGAGATAATTTGGACATCTTAGGTTCACTTTACTAAGGGTTCGTTTGATAAACAAAAATGAAAATGAATTCAAATTCTATGTTAATTGGAAAATAAAAATCTATCAAACACATATGAATTCGTTTTCCATGAAAATAAAGAAAATGCAGTTTAAAGTAGTTGTACTTTAGAATTCGGTTTCCATTTTCACTTCCCCGTTGTAATCAAAAGGTCAAAGTATAATTCGTTTTCCTCGGATATAACATTTTCCTATGAATTCGTTGCAATCAAACATGACATAACTGTTAGAGTCCGCTTGATAGGCAAATGTGGAAATGAATTCTAATTCCATATTAGTTGGAAAATAAAAATCTACTAAAACCATAAGATTTCGTTTTTCATGAAAACAAAGAAAATGCAGCTTAAAATGGTCGTACCTTGAAATTCAGTTTCCATTTCCACGTTGCAATGAAACAGTCAAAGTGGAATTCGTTTTTCTCAAATGTGACATTTTTCATGGAATTCGTTGCAATCAAACATGACCTTATTGACATTGTACATTTACCATTATTACGTATAAGTTATTAAAAATTTGATAAAATTTATAAGCCAATGAAAAAGTGCAGTGAAAAATTAATAGTCGTCCCGTTAGGCAGGGAAATTATGATATTAAAATATTTATACTTCTTCATTTTATTTATTTTAAATATAATTTTAAATAAAATTAAACATGATATAAAATAAAGGGATAATTGCAGTTGCGGTCCCAAACCTTTCAAATTTTTGTGCGTTTTACCCTAACCTTTGATTTGTACCAGCTGAGGTCCCAAACCTTTAAAAAATATGCGCCGGAGGTCCAAATGGACGGATTCCATCCAGTTGACCGTTAGTCAACCCAAAAAGTCAAAATTCATTCAATTTTGACTAAACTATGAGGGGTAAAATGGTACTTTCAATTTTTCCCATTTTAAAATATACTAAAATATTTATTAAAAAACCAAAAAAATAAAATCAATTTATAACATTCTTCCTCCCACCCCACTCC